GCTTGAGGAGGCGCTTTTGAATGTCGAGCAGGGAGGGGCGGCCCTTCTTCTTCTTCTTCGTCTCTGACGATCCTTTCCCCATCTTCTCCTTCTTCCTCTCTCTTTCTCTCTCCTCTCTGCGCCTCTCTCTCTCTCTCTACAAGCAGGCGTTAATTCTTTAATATTTTTTTTATTTTTATTTTTGCTTTTTTTTTTTTGCTTTTTTGTTTTATCATCTTGCGAAATCTCGTTTGGCACGTGCGTGTCCCCCTGCCCCCGCGCGGGTCTCTCGCTTCGCCTTGTGACCGCGACAATGGCTTAAGGCTAAGGGCGGCAATTTACTATTTAGGAAATTTCCCCATGAACACTTGGTAAGTGTGAGTGATTATGCGAATCTTTGGTTGTTATCTTCTTATGGTTAGTGTCCCTAGCGAGGATTAATTCTCTATTTTACTACCGTTTGAGTGATTATGGATTGTTTTGCACAGGTAATTGCGTACTTTCAAAGTTTTAATATGCGCGAGTTCATTGTAATCCTATAGATAAATGGGTACTTGTAAAGTTTTGCCTATTTCCAAATCAACCTAATCTCATATCAATAGATTGAAATTGCTTACGGTTCTTTGATTGAACTCGTTTATACGTGTACGCGATCTTCCACGATGTCAAGTGTTCAATTCTTGTCATGAGCAAATCTCTTAATAGCTCATGTTGTATTGTGCCTCGTGTGGGACGACTTCCTAATTGCTAGCGATTTTCGTGACGTGCTCGCCAATATCGAACCTTCGGGTCTCGTGTAGTGCAGGGCAGTTATGGCTCAATCAAACATCTTGTAGCAGCGTGGAGCTTTTATTACGGTCCATATGAATCGCTAATGATGGTCACCCCTTCTTATCCTTTCACCTATAAAAAGAAATGCTCTTTTTAGATACAAGAGCTACAAAAAGGATTAAAAATTTGAGGTAAATTCTATCTTATCGGCTCTTCTATTGTATTGCATGTAATAAAGTTTTTAAAAAGAATATTTAACTATCGACACAAAGCATCTAGTGCTCTAACTCTCATTTTAGAAAAACGAGCAAATGAAAAACAGTTTCATCATCAACGGAAATTTGAAGATAGGCGATAGGCAAGAAATGATTGTTTTTTTAAAAAAATATTTTTCAAATCATTTATTTTCCGCAAAATAAACGGACCCCCGATCCCATGTAACTATCCATAAGCACAAGTAAGAAAGTCACAATATGGGGGGACCAGCAGTGGGCCGAAAGGAGACGAGAGGGGAGAGAGAGAGAAATGGCGGGATTTTCAGGCCAGTCATGAGCTATCGCGCGGCACAAATCCAACCCCTAATCGAAGGGGGTCGAGTTATATATTGCGTGGTCGAGTGCGCAACTGAATGATGGAAACCATCAACGACCGAGCAACATCCTAGAAGCAGCAGCAGCTAATTCTGGCCCTTTCATCCCGATCACGAACAATTCGCACGGCTTGAACAAAGGGGTCCCCGGTTCGAACCCGGGCACAGACATTGGATCTATAAAAGTATTGTCTACGCATAAATCAGGTCGCGATGGGCTTGGGGCTAAAGGGCTTCGTTCTCGGATGGGCTTAGCCAGGCTAAGGGCAAAAGGGCCTTGAGTTTCTGTCTTCGAATCAGTCCATTCACAACGGAAAATAATGTACACGAGATCCAATAGTAAGGCCCAAGGCCTAATGAGATTTTCCTTTGCCCTTTTTTCCAAGCACCACTTGAGATTTTCTTAACGGTAGGAGGGATAAAATTGACCTAACTTTCTCTTTTGAGGACTCAATTTAATGATCTCTATGGTGCGGGAAGAGTACCCTTCACGGGTGTCCTCCGAGAGGGCTATGACCGTTTGCGAGCAAAAGGCATTACGGTCTTTTTATTATATTGGAAACTTTCAATTTAAACTAGTCGAGACTTAAATTGTTTATCATTGTGGTCATGTGAATTCGTCATCTACAGCACGAGTTACAATTTCTCTTATTGCTATACGCCGTCTTCTATAGTTTTGAGAGCATTAATTGCGAAATTCAAATGTTTCACCAACATTTCACCGAAGAAAGGGACTACATTGATAGATATCTCCCCAGAATGTTAGCCAGTAACGGAGGGCGAAAAAGGACAAAAAGAAAACAAAGAGGTGCTCTTTGTGACTAGGATTAGGATGGCCTGCATGATGTGCTCTAAGAGATTGAATCAACAGATGATGAAAGCGTGTCTATGAATATCTGAAACTTAACATTTTGTTCAAGCGTATATTAAAGGGGCAATATGTCACTATAGTCTGTGGGCTGCACTTGTTCATATTACACGACTTCATTAAATCTTACAACGCAACAAAACGTCACACGTCTATCTCCACCATCAGCAATATAATACGCCTGTTGAGTGCGGCGCCTCTTGTTTCCAAACCATTCACCAGACGGCACGAAAGTGGCTTCCCACGTGTAATAAGCCGACTCTATGACCAAACTGACCATTGCAGATAAGCTTCACCCATATTTTTTTCTAGTAAGCGGATCGAATCCGCAGAATCCCATTTCATTTTCTTGCAAGCAAAGCAAATAATATAAATAACAATAATCAATCAGTATTAACTGATCATATATTTATCACAAATCTGATCCCATTAATGTTTTTGTAGCAAGTGTTGGGATCACGGTCTTTACCCATATCTTATCTTGCTTCAGGACTCGAAGACCATTCAGCAATTACTGCTTTTAGTTGAGCTACTTGTTTTTAAGACCACAGAGAGAGAGAGAGAGGGTCAGAGAAAAAGTCAGTTCACAGATTTAATATAAAGCAGCAATCACATCCCGACCAAGTCCCTGCAAAAATCATGCAAAAGATCAGCCGACATATAGATACATCATTGGCCCCATACCAACCGCAACTGCCCACATTAGCTTTCTGAGAAAATTCTTCAGTGAGAGATCATAGCAGGCAAATCCGCATTCAGGTCTTCTTCGGATACTTAAGTGAAAGCAGAGCTAAACAAGGGACAATGTGCATAGCAGCTTTCGTTTGGCAAGCTCACCCGCTTTACCCTTTGATTCTGGTGCTGAACAGAGACGAGTATCACAACAGGCAAGTTGAGGCTTGAACTCTCTTCATTCCATTTGTTTGTACTCTTCTTCTGTTTTCATGAAGACAGTGCTCGTTAGTTTATTGATTCTTCTCTCTGTTAAATTTGTGAAGACCAACAAAGCCAGTGGAATGGTGGGAAGAGATGGAGATATTGGGAGGAAGAGATGAAATTGCTGGAGGGACTTGGTTGGCCTGTTCAAAAGAGGGAAGAGTGGCTTTCTTGACAAACGTGCTGGAGCTTCATACACTCCACGAGGCGAAGAGCCGCGGCGACCTTCCCGTGCTTTTCTTGGAGGTACGCATGAGCATTTATTCTGTTCTCTGAAATTAACAAAGTCTCCCAGACCAGTCACTTATAGGAGAAGTTACAAAATTGGATTCCCATGTTTCTAACTCACAATCAAAATGGCTATCCTCAAACCTGACGCTAAGAAAAAGATAGGTGACTTTCATTTCCTCTGTTCAAGCCAAAAAGGTGCGTTATATACTTTACCTCTTACGGTTGACTCTTGGGCCGCCATTGTATGCACCCGTAGAAATTGCACCTTCTTCAAGTTCTAGGAAAAGCTTATTGCTTGAGTCCTTAACCTTTATTGCATAAATGTGCGCATGATCAAGTCTAAACAAATGGTTCAACTCTTGGTTGAAATTGGTGGAAATCCTTTTTTTGGACAATAAAGACAAGTTTTTTGGATATATGTACTTCAGCTGATGTACCTGAATGTTTGCAGAGCACAAAGAGTCCAAGAGAATTTGCAGAGCAGCTGGTGACAGAGGCTCATCAGTACAATGGCTTCAATCTCATTGTCGCCGACACTTGTTCCAAAACCATGGTTTATATCTCCAACCGTCCAAAAGGAGAGCCCGTAACCATTCAAGAGGTTTCCCCTGGAATTCATGTGCTATCCAATGCGAAACTTGACTCACCTTGGCATAAGGTAAAAGACCATTAGCTAGTAGCACTGTCAATTTGATATCCCAGAAATCAGGGGATTAGTTACTAGGGATGAGAGGCTTCCAAAATATAGAAGTCCTAAGATTGTAGCATACTTGGCCTATAGTAGCTCTTTCTCACGGGACACAAAATGAGGGAGCCTGAACATTCCACTGTTCTCTCTATAATATAGCCAGATACACAATTTTTATCCATCTGCACATTTTGATAAAAGCTACATCTGCAGGCTCGGCGTCTGGGACAGAATTTCAGGGAACTACTGAAGAAATATGGTGAATTTGACTTACCAGTAAAAGAGATGGTTGAAAAATTAATGAAGGACACAGTTAAAGCTGATAAGAGTAGTTTACCCCATATCTGTTCTGTGGATTGGGAATTTAATTTAAGCTCCATATATGTCGAAGTTGACACTCCATTGGTAAGCATCTCTTTATTAAAGTCTTCATATTCCAGACAACTTAAAATTTTCTTTTGATGAACCGGTTTATAATTTACAGGGACGTTATGGCACTAGGAGCACAGCTGTTTTGTCTGTGAAAGCAAATGGAGAAGTGAGCTTATATGAGAAGTACCTTGAAAAGGACCAGTGGAAGGAAAAAACTGTGAAATACCACATAAAGAAGATGAAGAAGACAGATTGACAGAAATTGACCACTCAATACTAATAAAGACTGAATCATTTGTAAATACAACTTTATGTACATAACGTGAATGGCACGTCTGTCAGCACAGAAGGTCTTAGCGCCTCACTTAAGAATGATTTTCTTTTGAGCCCCTCTTGGATTGAGAAGAATGCATTCAAAAGATGTAAAAGAAAAAGATTACAACTCTCCTTTCGTGGGAATGTAATGATGGATTAATGGAGTCACGGTTCGTCAGTCAATCGATATACCATCTAGAAGCTAGAGGCTTCTCTTGGAACCTGCTACCAAGTAATTATAGGCCTGACCGAGAGAAAAACTTGAATCTGCATAACATTATAATCAAATTCACATACATAAATAGAGAATATCTGCTGAAGTGTGGAACATCACCGTGCAATTCACCATGGCAAGATTGCTGCTTCATCACTATTCACATTACAAACATTACAACTCTATGGAAAACTATCTTCTCTCACTTTCTACTAGCAGTAGTTGGGACAAAATTTGTTTATCCAACTTGAAACCTGCCATCTCTGCCTCCTTGCAAACTGCCCTAACCTTAGCCAGCCTCCCCAAAATCAAATAAATTCCTATGATGGCACGGTATATATCATATGTTGGAGAGAATCCCGCCTCCTTGAGTTTCGAGAAGTACCTGACAGCCCTAGGGAGGTCATTCAGTGCTGCAAAAAGCTTTATTACCACGCGGTATGCTGGAAGATCAAGCAGGCAGTTTGAAGCCTCCATTTCCCAAACTACAGGCAATGCCTCCCTGTATTTGTTCTCTACATAACAGCTATGAATCAAGGTAGTGTACAAGACCACACTCAGTTCGCGGCCAGACTGTTTAAACCAACTAAAAAGACTTCCAACAAGTTCAAATTTTCTAAGTCTAATGCAGATCTTCATGATAGCTGTACAGTCCTGCTGGCTCAAGTTCAAATCTTCTCTTTCACCAAGCTCTTCCAATAATGCTAAAACAAGCGTGTCCCTGTCCGGCTTCTTTCCAAGCTCCAGTATTAGCTTTGCATAGATGCTGGAATCCAGCAATCTGTTATGATCCTTGGCAACCCGGACAAGGTTCCAAGCAAGATTCAAGCTTCCTCCTTTGATGAACCCCTTCACCATTGCCTCTATTACACCACGACTTGCCAAACAAGCGAACTTTTCCAAGTTGATTGGCACCTTCAACCCATGATTCCTGGCTAGTACTTCAACGGTCGAAGCCAATATCTGATCATCAGGAAATAGATTAGGCTGTTTCTGAGCCCAACTGAAAGTTTGTAGAGCCTTGTCAGGTAGACACATGTGACCTAATTCCCTGATGGTCAAAGACAGCGATCCTTTCCGAAGAAAACGCGACCACTTGTTGAGAACTTTGGATGCATTCTCTTCAGGAGGAAGCTTCCCAATCTCCCTTGCCAGACCGATGAGGAACCGTGGGTCCCGGTACACTCGCTCGGAGACAGAAGCCCTAGGAGAAACGCCGATGGCCAAACCGAGTTTGACGTGTTTTTTCGGCGTGGGGAGTCCCAAAGGTCTGAGTTTATAAGGAAGTGGGAGGGGAAGAGCTCTTTCTCTGCCTAACTTCCCAGGTTTCTGAGGAATCCTTCCTTTAAAAAGCGATGATATCGCTTGAATCTCATCTTGATCCCACACAACGTCATTATCTCCTCCTACTTCTTCTTCTTCTTCAATCTCTAAATCAAGTCCTTCTTCATCAAACGGATCGACTTGGGTCTGTTCAGTATCAGTGTTCGTCTTCTTCAAGAACAGATCAGTTCCAAATGCAGGAGGGAGCTTGTCTCGCCGAGGGAAACGAAGATTCTTGGGTATTCTTTTGCTGTGAACTCTAGTACCATGGTTTGCCGCGAAAATTCTCAAGCTACAACTTAAAGAATTCAACTTGAGTGAATGCCCGCTTGAGAGCTCACATGGTGGGGGCAACAGACCGGGCATGGCTTTCGCAGGCGAGAAAATGAACTGAAACAAATCGACTAGACCAAAACGAGATCGCCCAAATAGTCTATAACTTCAAGATTGGAGCTTTCTGCGCCGACAAGACCCGAAAACCCACCTGGGAATTTCGTCGAGCAGTTGGTCTGCCAGGCAGAGATCGCGCTAAAATCGTGAGCAACCGGGTATTAAAGTAGGACGGAACGGAGAGGAGGTACAAACGGAGGCGTTTGGAAACCTCGAATCAAGGCAATGGCAATAGAATCAGCCTTCTTTGCCGCTCCCACAGTGCTGGATCCCCGGAAGGAAGAGGGAGCTTCGAAGAACCATTGATCCCACGATGGTGGGTGTGCTCGTCCGTGCGTGCATGGATAAGCTGGACCGGGCGGTCCATATTTGAATGGGTTTCCTCCGGTTTGTCGAGCGAATCCAAGAATCGGGTTAGATCCGACCCGGATAACTGAACCAAATCAAACCAAAACTAATCCGGTGCGTCGAGATAGAACTCGTGTCCGAGCTTTGTGGCCATGTCTTCCTGATCTTTCCAATTGCACCATGATGCACCCGTGTTATTTTATCGTAAAAATTACAATCTCGTGTCATTTTAAGTTTGCACAGCGTGTAAGGAAAGGAAGAGGCGGTCAGATTTAGGTCGGAAAAACAGTAATTTTTTATTGTGATTGCACCGCTTGTTATTTTATTTCTTACAAATATGTAAAATACTAAAAACTAAACCTAATCCCTCAAAACCTCGAGGTGCCTTATTCACATGTGTTGACACCTTCGAGTTAACAAATCTTTTTTCAGAAGATTTCGCTCAAAAACGCCCTCTCTTCGTCATATTTATTTCCTTTGTTTCATTTTCCAATTTTTTAGAAAATTTTTCATGTCCTACATAAAGTTCTCAAGGGTCTCCTTTTGCTTCAATGCTCCTTATTTTGTTCTTTTTCCCAATCTAATCAAGGACAAGTTTGTCTTTTATTTTTTTCCCAACTCATCTTCCATTTCCAAATCAATCCATCCGTAAAATCTTTTTATAAGTGTATATATTTGTTTTACTATGATTTTATTTTGTTATAGACTTTTAAAAGCCTATGCACAGGCCACAACAAACCATTGATCGGGTAAGCCATGGCAAGAGGAATTTTTAAAAATGAGGTAGCAATTATCAAGCAGAGAGAGATTCCAAACGAGACGCGAATATACAGAGATGCTTTTAGATATGTTTCGTTCAGTGACAAATTCAAATTCGCAGTACGGCATAACACGCCCTGACACAGGAGGAAGGAATCTGTAGTGATGCGATGCCAAGTAGCGCTTTATCAATTTTCGCCACGTTATCAATTTAAGGTGTTGAGATATTGTTAATATTTGGAAGAATATGATTTGCACAATCAAGAGATAGAACACACTTGATTGTGTAGAAGGAAAAAAACTTACACGGCCCTAATTGTACAAATGAAACACCATAGACTATGAGTCATAGTCGTAGGCGGATCGAGTCTACCAACAGACACGATGAACAATAAGTAGAAGGCAGTGAGCACTATTTTAGCCAATCCACTCTTTACATGACCAAATCTCGCTTTCCACTGTTCTAAATTGCCAAAAGAGGCAAAATCATAAACGAAGATGAACATTACATATAGAATAAGGTATCGTCGAATACAATAAAGAATACAAAAATTCAATGAAAGAATTGTCCTATGCTATGTTCAAAGCCTAGCATTCGCGCTCTCTCTCTCTCTCTCGCCGTCCTCTGTTTTAAGAGAGGTTGCATTCTGGAGGGAGGCCTTGAGGGAACCTCTTGGAGTCAGAGCAGTAGTTGTAGATCATGTAATTCTGCTGCACCCATCTCAGCCTCCCTTGGCTGGTCGTGTCCAGCTCCTGCGTGAGCCAAGAACTGCCATCGCTCGAGGCGGCGTTGTCCCCGCAAGACGACGACCCGGAGGACCAAATGCAGGCGTCGGCGTCGAAGTTCCGGTACGAGGCTGTGAATGGAGCTCTCGACCAGTCTGTCTTCACAAGCCCGCCTCTCGTTGCCCAGTCGTCCGCGTTCCACGGGCTCGAGTAAATCCTCATCGGTTGGCTGCTGGGGAACGGGACGCCGCTCGATTCCGCGTTCTTGAATTCTCTGATTGGAGTGCCGTCCACCGAGAATCTGTAATGCGCGCACGCGGAAGTGTTTGAATAAATGCCGCGGGAGAAATCTGTTTTATCGCACATGTCAAGTGAGATTGCATTTTGGGGTTTGTCCCGATTCTTACATGATGCGTTGCGGGTTCCAGAGGATGGAGTAGGTGTGGAAATCGGCAGTCGGGTCGAACCAGAGATAGAATTGCTGTTCCCTGTTTCCCTTGCCTTGGCTGAACACATTGGTGTGAAGAATGTATGGATCGCCACTCAGGTTCCCCAAGAACTCAAAGTCTATCTCGTCCCACGCGGACCCTTTTGAGGATAGCTGCAATGCATATACACCCAAGAGCGCACACATATCAGCAAAAGATTACGAACGGCGGCTACTGACACATAGAGGCAAAGCTTGAGCTTTTCTTTTCATGGGCGGGTGGTAGTGGATACTTACATAGTAGGCAGTGACAGTGCCAGCAGAATTCCCAGGGACTAGCTTGAGCTGCATGTCGATTTTGCCGAAAAGATATTCGTTCTTGGATTGGAAGCCGGAGCCCGAAGCCTTGTCGAGAGAGAGAGTGAGGAGATCTCCGTTGTCGAGTATCTGAGCTCTGCCATCTCCCCAGGTTATGTCAAACTCCTGGTGGAAGTTGCCAGCAAGTGCAACCATCAGAGCATTGAGCAGAACGGAAGTCGAGAGAATGGCAAAGGCGGCGGCAGCAGAAGCCATGGTGGTCAAGAACACTGACTGAACTGAGACCGGAGGAGATGAACGAAAGAGAGGATGAACTCAATTTGAATGAGATGATGGGTGTTGTTTGTGATGAGAAGTACTGCGGAGCAATGGCTAATTTATACTTCGGGAGCGGTAGAGTTGAGCAAAGCAAGTGAAGGTTCGTTGATTACTTGCGCCAAGCCGACGGAAGGTCATAGGAAGGTGGAGGTTCGCTTAGCTGTGCTGTACCCAGTTGTCGCATGCAAAGAGTGCATTTTCCAAGACACGACGGCGCTTGTGCTTTCTCTCTTTCTACCTAGTTGCATAACGCGTTACGGCTTTAGTAAATTCAAGAAAACAGGTAGGGCCGGGCAGGTTATTACCAGCACAAATTCCCTTCCGCCGCGCTAAATACATTTCGTTGTTTTTCAAGACCCATCATGGGCCGGGCTGGCGTTTGCCCCAGCGCCTGCGCGGCCCGCTTCGGCCCACGGGCCTTCGTTCCCTAAATCAATTATCTTCTAACTGTTATGCAAGGCCCTTCTGTTAAGCCGGTGCAAGACTATACCACGTAGGATGACGAGTGTTCACGCCAGCAATTTCCGATCTAAATTGATCTGAATGAATAAATTGGCAAGCCGTCGTAATATTTATGACTAATATGGCAAATCATCAAAAGATTTAGAACTAAATTGACAAAATCGAAATGTTTGGGACTAAATTGGCACAATTAAAAGGTTTATAACCAAATTAGCCGCCGTACAATAAATTTTGGACTTTTTGGTCATCGATTTAAATGGCATTTCGATCTTCCTCTAAGTTAAATGGCCTGAACCGGGTGTGATTTGGGTATATTTTTGAACTTTAGGCGAGGTGTTCGGGCGGTGCACCATCATTTCTTTCTACGGGTAATAAAAAAAGAAAAAAAGCGACGATAAGATAATAACGATGCTGCTTAACGGTAACGGAGTCAATCAGTAGCCTTCGTTAAGCGCCGATTGCTGACTAATCGCGGGAGTGTCGTTGACCGATGCACTGGCCATCTAAAGTTCCGCCTCTATTATTCGGTGGGTGTGTGCAGCGTACAGCTTGCTGTGATGCGAACAAAAGATACTTATTCTCCATTTTGGAGGCATCATCCCCTTCTTCCCTGAACTTATATTTATTTTTCCAATTCCGTCCTCGAATTAACAATTTTTTGTGCAATAAAGTCCTTAGACTATGGAGCTTGTTACTTTTTTTTCCCAATTAAGTCCCCACTCCATCACCAATTTTGGCAAATTTGGACAAATCAAAAGTTTAGAGATTACATTGCACATTTGAGTAGAGTTCAAAGACCATTTATATCAATATTCTTATCCATAAGCGTCTCCATTCAAGCAACGAAATGAGGAGGCGACACTCGAGCATAACTTTGATTTTTAGCATCTAAATTTTTTTTCTTCCGCGAAACATACGTGTCATGAATTCAAAACGGTTTACTAGGCTAGAAGATAGTAATGATCGTCGCACAATATCACAAACACGATCAAACTAAAACACCGCGGCATTACACCACTGAGATGTGCGGTTCTTTTTTGGACCTAATCAAGTCCTCAAAAGGCTTCATTTCTGTCATTGTCAAAATCTCGGGATCACCGAGATGTAAAACATATAGAGGGTATTCCCCTTCCTCGAAGAAGATAAAAATACAAGGGGTATTGGGGGTGCGAGGCGGGTACTGATTCGTTAAAATAAGGAACTCATTCGCGGATCCCGCCTCACAAGATAGGGACAGGCCGCGGAGGCCTTGGTATGAGCGAAATCTCCCTATCTTTTAGCAAGGTTACCTCTTAATTGAACACCAAACACGTGCGTCACGAATTCAAAACGGTCGACTAAGTAACGATCACCGCACAGCATCGCGAACGCTATCAAACTAAACACCGCCGCATCACACCCCGATACGAACACCATCGCACGACTGGGCTCGAATCGAGAGACGCCGCGAGAATCCAAGCCCATCATCGCCCCCAACGCGCCTCATCCACGAAGCACAAGAAGCACAACGGCCAAAAAAAAACACACAACAGCAGCAGAGGCAAACACCACCCGATGATCGAGAGACGAGGAGGTCGCCCAATGGGCGCGGAGGACGCGGATCGCTGACGTGGCGGAAAAGAATAATTTGAAATCCCGCCTAAACCCCCCCGGGCGACGATTTCACGATTTAACCCCTCTCCCTTTATTATTTCCGCCTTCCGGCCTCTCTCCTCCAAGCCCATTCGACCATTCCTCTCTCTACGAAGAGAAAACCCTACGAGAAGGTCGTCGTCGTCGTCGTCGTCGAAGAGGTAAAAAAGCTCGATCGCTTCCGATCGGTTTCCGCCGCGGAATCGTTCGCCTTTTCCCCCCGCGTCTTTTGCTCAGGCCGGCGTTCGGTTCGGGTTTTGCAGGTTCCACAGCCATGAAGGGAGGCAACTCGAAGTCGCAGTCGAGGAACGCTGCGTGAGTTACCCCAATCGCTTCCTTTGTTTTCGTTCGTTTATTTTTTGGGATGTTCCCTTGCCTGATTCGATGCTCCCGGAGCTCGCGAACGCTGAGTGCTTCGCGCTCGCCGTAGCTCTCCGTGGTGTTTCAGATCTGAGATCTGTTTTCGCTGCGCGCGCCCCCGAGGAATCGGGATGGAAATCGCTCGCGCGAATATGTTGCGCGCGTGCGTGTTTTTGCGTGGCGATTGTGGAAGTGAATTCCTTTTTTTTTTTTTTTTTTGGGGTGTGATGTGCGGGTTGGTTGTGTGTGTAGGCTTTCGGTGAACAAGAGGAAAACGACTAAGAAGGAGAAGAAGGTGAAGGATCCTAACAAGCCTAAGAGGCCTGCCAGTGCCTTCTTCGTCTTCATGTAAGCCTGCCTATACACGGTCTTCGACATGCTCTGATCTTTGTCTGGGATGTCTCGAAGGGTTCTCGCCCTGTGCATAAGATGCGCGCTCTCTTGCTTTTTTTGCTTCTTTTTTTTGTTGTGCGTGTCCTTTTGTATGCTAAACTGGTTCGTCTGAGGATAGTCAAACCTGTTGATTTAGCTAGAAATTACGTGGTCAAAAGCAGAAGCGCATGGCTTGGAACTCTCTTTTTCTGGAACAGGACTCTAATGTGTTTGACTTAACTCTTAACTATTGTAGGGAAGAGTTCAGGAAGCAGTACAAGGAGAAACACCCTAACAATAAATCCGTTGCTGCTGTGAGTGGATCTATCTGCCCCTTTTCCCATCCTCGGGCTCCAACGGTTACTCTTGCTTACTGCGGTAGATACCGGGGGCTTTTAGCTTATGACTTTCTTTTGTCTGTTGTAATCATGTGAAAAAGGTTGGCAAAGCTGGGGGAGACAAGTGGAAGTCATTGTCTGATGCTGTGAGTGATTTATTGATTACTGAAGTTGCCTGTCCTTGAGTGGGGATGCGAAGTTTGTGACTTGATCTTATCCGCGAACGTAATTCTATATATGGGCTAAACTTGGCGGTGTGGAAATTGCAGGATAAAGCTCCTTATATAGCCAAGGCTGATAAAAGGAAGGTTGAGTATGAGAAGACCATGAAAGCTTACAACAAAAGACAGGTACATGAGTCGATAGGCTGTGTAAGTGTAGCTGTTTCTCGGTGGTATAAGAAAGTGTTTTCGATGACACCATTTATTCATGGGGTTGATTGCACTCGTGGCAACTAGGCTGAAGGTACCAAGGCTGATGAAGAGGAGTCTGAGAAGTCTATGTCTGAGGTGAACAATGAGGAGGAAGATGAAGACGAAGGCAGCGATGAAGTGAGTTGAATCTCTGTCATTGTTATGAAGTCAGCTCTTTCCAGCCTTGTATATATAGTGATTTGCTATTTCTTTGCTGATTGCAGGATGATGACGATGAGTAGATATTTGGGAAGGGAAGATAGTTCTTATCTAGGTCATCAAGGCGGTTTAGTTATCTTTTATCAAGGCATCTGTAGTTTGATGCTCATTTATTTTTTGGTGGCCCTCTGATTTTGTTCCCTTTGAAGAATGAACACGAGTACTTGCGGAAGGGGGAGGAGAGCACAGCGACATGTATTGTGCTTTAATGACTTTTAGATGGGGGCTTTTTATATTGTGTAGAGCTATTATTAAGTAAATTCGATTTGTGATTTTATCCAGTTGGTAATTTCCTTCTTATATTTCACTTCAATTTTACTTCAATGTTGAGCTAGTTCTAGTTTAATCTGCAAATATCGCCCGGTATGCTTGCAATCTATTGTATATTTGTCTCTGAAGCACGCGATGTGGTGGGATTAATTGTTTCACTGATTGATAATGGTTGTTTCCGTGCTGTGAAATAAAACTTTTATGGAGTAGATGTAAATGTGCTGATGTAAATCTGAATGCCAATTTTTGTTTCTTGACAGTGGAATTGTGATCTAAGATGAATTGGATTGAAGTTGAGTTTGGATAGCTTATTTGCGTGCACGATCGAAGCTTTAGCTAATCTCTAGGCCTGCATGTTTTTTGTCTCTCATAAGGAGACCCCGTCTCAATGGGCTATTGTTTTTCTTGTCAGTCTCGGTGACCAAGAGCGTGATATAATTTGGTGAAATCGAATATGCAGCTACTGGTGATTTAGTCTTTGAATCGTTGTGATGAATGCTATGTTGGTTTATAAAATTTTACTGAGGACGAAATATATGGTGGGAAATTATTCAGCATCAAAGCCTAACCTTGGCTGTGGGCAGATTGAGTTTCGGTTTACTGCTTTGACGTTTTGTCTGGAAAAAGTTGAAAATGAATAAAGCGGTGGTGATGTTTGGTAGATAAACGGTTCATGGTTAAGAATTGTTGCTCCGTAGTATTTTTGCTTAAGACGCTGTTCTCTCGGTTATGGTTACGTGTGAGCTTGTCTGTTTGCCAGGATGCTGCTTTTTGGACAAGAGTTTTCGTGAAGATGTAGTTGGTTGGATATGTTCCACTGGCACTGGCGACCAAGTAGCGTGCATCCTAGGTGAAACGCTTGGTGGCCGAGTGCGGTGCGCTTTGCATCTTGGCTAGAATTGCGAGTATCCAAGAGGGATGACCCCACTGTCTTTTGAGCATCTGTACCCGCTTAGGCTTTATGTAAAGCCGAAAGATTTTTCAATGTAAAGCAGCTAAAAAGGCATTCTAGTGTAACCATCGCCTTTTGTAGATAGGCATGAAGCCCGAGTGCTTGGTGCGCACGTACTTGAAATTCTGTGAAATGGCGATGTGTTATTTCGGGACCCAAACTGGGCCTCATCTTTTCGATGGTTAAGGCACGTTTTTCCGTTTTATCGGCAATAGTAGTAGGCATTCTTCACGAGGAATCATTTTAATCTTGCCGTCTTCCGGCAAAATCCTTCGCATCAACACAATGTTGAACACTGGCTCTGCTCATTACAACCGACTTTCCTTCTCTTGCGACAACATGCATGACAAGTCTTGCCGATCTCAACATATACTGGATGTTTTGCCAGACTAAATTAACCAGTGTAGCAACGAAATTATTATTGAAAATAGCACGCCCCTCAGTATCAGCAAATGAGTCCAGAAGTGAAGAGAACAAAAACTTGAACTCCAAGGTAAGCACTGCCTACTAATTGCAAAACCTGCTTTCGGGATCTGGACCAAAGAGAACTATAGCACTTTACAGGTACGTTGGAGTAACAAACCCAAGAAGGGGAAAAATAACATCGACAAGAGCGCACGCCCAAGATGAGAAGGCTCCCTTGCACTTTCGCCATAGACATGCGAGTGCCAAGCTCGAAAGATGATGCCCTGAGCTTGTGATGTAAAATCTGAAATCCTTTGGTCAATGCGTCAAGTTACAAACCCATCTCGCCCAAATGAATGTGGTATCACATGAGGATTAGTAGGTACACGTCTGCAGTTTCCTAAAGGTCACCATTTACAAAGTTTTCCATTTTGATCATTTCCCACTTGCGTGTGAACTGTCTTTGACATCTGAGGGATGTTCCTCTGTTTGAACTGGTTTTCCATGTTTGTCATGCCACAAGCCAACAGGTATCTCCATGGAACAGAACTTGACATGCTTCTTAAGTATGGTAAAGTCGGTCGCTTCCCCGAAACAAATCAAGGCAAACTACCAACCAACAGCTAAATATATTTCTGCAATCTCAGTGAAGTTGCGGTAAAATGCAATGATGCAGGCAAGAATAGCGTTACTGGCTGTCCACCCAATGGTCAACCTCGTCAAATTATCAAGGAGAGATCATGCCCATCTCTAAATCTCTAGGAGATCTTCAATTTCAGAGAAGCCACATATATTCGATCAGATGCCTTACAGTTTATACTGTAGCCAAATGAGAACCAGCCAAGCAGTTGGATCATTCTTCCCAGTCAGAAAGCAGTGGTCTCCTTGGAAGCCGCAACTGCCAATTACAAAGGAATTATGCATTTCCAAACAAACAGCCAGAATACTATTCTAACTTCAAAAAGCAGACACGTGTTTCTGACCTTAGACTTTGTTGTCCTCCAGCCTCCAGAGTTCTGCTTTTTAGGACTGTATGCAAATTTCTCTATGGACTTTAAAGCATCATTCTCAGCCTGGTCTGAGCATTTTACTACAACCTGCAATTTCGCAGAGAACTGCCAATTAACCGTCCATAGGGCAAGTTCTACTGTTCTAGATCATCCAATTCAAAAAAGTGGAGCACCCCAACCAGTAATGTTTTTCTTGTCAAATTGATTCCCTGCATTTTAATTAGAGAGAAGTCTACTATCTTCAAACTCATATCATTACCATCTCACCTCTCTTTACCAGATCAACAAGCAGACTATGGGATGAAAACTGTCACTCACAAAAAATTACATTTTATCGGCTAAACTGAACTCAGATTGCATAACAATCTTTGGCAAAATGGACACAGAAAATCTTTCTAATGGACCTCATAAACCAAAGTAAATCTAAATTAATATGATTAAAGGTAAAAGAAAAATTAAATTACTTGTTCTGCTTGGAGCTTTTATATATTTGTTTTTTGTGGGCTCAAACAGAATGTGAACATTCCTAATGCTAGCATAGCATGATCAGGATACCAACCTATATGAGATTCATCATACTTTAATAATGGAACCATTGACAAGCCATACACTAAACTCACCTTTGTATCAGTGTCCTCTAATGATTTCAGCTCCTTAATCTCCAATTGATCGGCAAAAAACAAGATCTGCACCTCAATTATTTGACTGTCAGAAACCAAATAGAAAACAAAGGGCCTCATAATAGCAGGCCAGAAATTGAGATCACTGCAAGTTGTCCACAATACACATCATGCCAAGTTAAGATACTACGAGAAATTCATAGGTTTTATTTGGAACATACCTTGTTGAGTAGGTCGATATTAGAAGCATCAGTTGCCATGATCCGTACACCGAGACAATTTCCAGGAGAACTACAAAACGGGCAAAAGATGGTCTGGAACACACATCCATCTTCTTCACACCAAGTAGCTTGTCCCCGATGTCCATCAGTCGTATCATCCCAGAGTTGCTGAGCTACTGATGAAACATCGGTTATTAACACTTGTATTCCTGTTGGCGTGCAAACATTGCCAGCTCCGATCTTTTCTTCCACCAGTTTTGCCAAGTGGACTTTGGACAGCGAGGTTGGTGAGGATGGGACAAAGAAATTGCTTTCAGGAAGACCAAAGGGGGCCCGGCAAAGAGAACAAGAAATCTGGTGTCTCTTGTCCCCAGCAGCTATGACACGATCAGTGACTCGGAATGATGAAGCCACACTTGATTTCTTGCATATCCGTTCTGCTGGTTTATTTTCAGAATCAAACTTGATTCTCCGATTAGCATCTCCATGGGTTGTTGACTTTTCGGTTGAACTATAGGTGTTGAAAGCATTTGAATGTTCATCCATGACAGTGCCAGCTAATGGAGAAGATATGAACTTTTTCCTTTTTTGTGCATGAGAATTGACACTCGAGCACATAGTTTCTTTCTCTGAGCTCAAGCCAAAGGTTCCGGTTGCAGCTTCTCTTTGAGAGGTTATAATAGCAGAACATTGGGTTACAGAATGAGCTTTGCTAAGACCTGATAAGGACACTGAATGAGGTGAGAATTGATCTGGGAAATCGACGGAAGACTGAATTACTGATGAGGGAGAAGTGTTATCCTTAGATAGAGATCCCCCAGCATGAGAGGCAAAGCTGCTATATATATCGCATGTATCCTTCACTAGTACTTCAGGATCCTCACGAAACTCATTGCTGTCTGCTACAGGGCACCTGCTTAAAATGGAAATAAAGAGACGAAGCTTATCATCTCGTAGAAAACTAGTGCAGAGTGACTTTTCCAAAAAGATGTTCAATTATTTCAACCTAGGAAGTCTATGGAATGACGTAAGCGGTTAGTATTAGAAAAAACTTCACAGTGCATAATTTGCGAGTAACTTTGCAGAGCATTCCCTTATGAGTATATATGCTTTCTAAGTTTACCTCGGGTTTTCCTCAAAATCACAGTCCAGGTCTATATATTCCCTCTTTCTGTCACAATCCATAACAGCTGTTTGGAGGGGATTTGGTTCAAGATTTCCTCGAGATGTTAGCTGGATGAAAGCAGCCTCTTGCTTTGAATCAGAAATTAGCTTCAGTTCCACACAATCAGAATCACCTGGATTATTCTTTCTAGCAAGCAGCTTACTTTGCTTGATGCATGAAGCAGTCTCTGGATCCGTGCAAGAACCCGGTACCATATCCACGGTTTTATCACCAACCTGTCCCTGTAAGCAAAACGAGAAGAATCATTTACTTGGTAGTTGGCTGATTCTGTCATTCATTGACTATAGACACAAGCAGCAAAAATTAGAATCAGAAAAGTAGACATGAATTGCATTATACCCCGACATCTCTGAAGAACGATTTCAAACCCTCAAGTGATGCATCCAAGGACTCGTACAGATTGATGGATTTCTTGAGCCACTTTGTAATATAAGCTCTGTTCCTTTCTTCACGAAAGCGTTCATCTGCTTTCAAAATATAATTTCTTAGAGAATGACTAAATTCATAAGTAGACCACCTAAAGATTGCATCATATGCCAGTAAGCTAATAAAAGCGCCGATGGCAGTGATTCGAGAATCGAAACTACGAAAAGTCATATCTGGAGCAGCAATATCCTCGCTAATGTCAGGGCTAGTACTATTATTAGTTCAACCCCACAGCTTCCGCTTAATATTGTCTTGTTCTACATTTAACTTTTTTTTTATATGAGACAGATGTTAACGATTTCTCACTAAAAACCTAAGCTATTAAGTGGGAAATGTATGCATATAGCATTAGTTCATTTCTGATTGGTCTGTTACGTTTGTAATCAGAATAACAATGTTGTCTTGGACACAAAATGTATCGTGTGAGGCTGAGACATGCATCTCCAACCCGTGAATGAGGTTGCCAACCATTGAAGTGTGAGAATCTTTAATGAAGATCGTCAGACTGATTAAAGCAGGACGGATGCTGTATAGATGGCTGAATAGGGCAGTTGCACATTTCAGCCTTTCCATCTTGAAAAAGGGAGAAAAAATAGATGGATGACAATGCTGAAGGATATAAGATAGCTGTGAACCTCCATTGTGATGAGGTATAACTTCATAAAAGCATAGCGCTCCCTACAAGCAACAGTCAATGCTGAACACCTGCTATGTCTCTGCCATTATCTTTTCTCCACGTGGTGTTACTTCTAGTCTTGCCCTGATGGAATCATTCTTAGCATGCATCAATTAAATACCATTTCTTTTGTATCTTTCCCCCCCTATAATTAGTGATAATTCTCTAAAGTGGGACGACTATATGGCTGTATCAGATTTCTAACATGTAAAACCAATCTATTGAGGAAAACAATCATACATTGTCATTGATGGTCAATGTTCTTAAACCTGCCCGGTCAAAGAACCAGTAGGCCTGGCGGTTCAAGGGTCAACATGTTCAACCGGCTTTTGAACTGTTTGAACGCCGTTTGTCTTAAATCACATATTTTATTAATTTATAGTACCATCTAGACAGTCATCCACTGCATAGCTATGTTGGTTGAGGCACTCCTTGCTTGCTTTGGTGGTAAGGGGATAGAATCCCTTGGCCTTATCTATTAAATGATGAGTAAAATAATCTGTTGTCATGTTTGAACAAAGAGTCAATGGCCAAGTGTACAGCGTCCCAAGTGCTTTTCCAAGTGAACAAAGGTTCAAACCTTGCTCGTACAAGGTTGATTAATTTTTTTATAAAACCGGTCAAACCATTGTGAGGTGCACCAGGTTAACCGGTTCAACAGGGTCCACATCAGGTTTGACCGGTTCTTAACCACTCCGATTCTCTCACAGAAACCAGACCATGCTCCGATTCTCGCTTCAATAAGTCCGGTCCGGGTCTGAAAGCACTGTTGATAGTCTATTAAAACTTAAAAGCAGAACCCTTACCTAAAAAAATGATGGCCCCATAATCAAGCGCATGTCTTATGCAACGGCCTGCATAGAAGTAAGACAATGTAATACTTTCATCTCCAGAAAATGTTAGTGATCCCATTAAATGCAAAAACACAGCACCAAAATTTCCAACGAGATAATGCAAATGTACAAAAGGTTTCTCAAGATGAACATAGGCATATAGAAACTGTTACATCAGTGGAAGCACTATTCATAACATAAATGTACCTGCAGCCTGATTTAGAGTACGAAAGGCTTGTTGACAGTACCACTCATTTCCACCCAGAAGGTTCTTCGATGACTTATGAGTGTCATTATATTTCTTTTTTAATGCAACTTGGATGTCATTCCTGATAAGAAGCTAGCATCAATCAGCACATTTTGCTATTAGTGAATATTGTAGTGAGAAAGTTTAGCACTTACACATTGGGGAATGGAATGCCAACAATTATCTTGGACAGTTAAGGAATCAGAGGTAAAAATCAATTTTGACATTACCGACAACTATCAGAGGAAATTGCAGAACATAAAGGTGGCATACAGTTAAAAAACAAATTTGCTAAAGAGGATACAACCGCGCGGGCATTTTCATCAGAAAAATCGATTCCCTCAGAAACCTGCAAATATCACATTCAGATGATCTTACATGCAGCGGTGATAATGTGAAGCTGAATGAGAAGTTCTAATTAGTACTACCCTGGAGAAAAATAGGAACTAAAAATTATTTGCATTTTCTTTATAACATGCCAGACATATCCATTAGAAATACGCCATTATCTGTCTTTTCCTCCAACTCCTTGACTTTTGATCTCTAAACTTCCTTCTCATTTCATTCCAAGGCAAAATCTTTCAGTATGGAGAAAAATACTAGTTATACTCTCATGTTTTAATCACTTCAAATTTAATCTCGTTAATCCTTCAGGTTTTTAGAGGACTGAGACTCACCTTTCCTCTACAAACGGCAAGGAAAGCAGCTCCTTTCTTCAGTTCTCCTGAGGACCCCACTTTACTGGACTGGGTATGTTCTAGCCTCTTAGTTCTTCTCTTTTTATCAGCAACAGCTTTATTGCCTTGGCGAACTGAATCGTAATAACCTTTCAAAACAGCCTCAAAATCTTCCTGGCCCCCTCCCCTTGGTTCTGTGTGCATGGAATTAGCAAATAATTAACAAACAAAATGAAATAACTAGGTAGTTGAAGTTCTAAGAAGTCTAAGTGTTGTGACTAGTGAGTGAGTGATATGAGATATAGTACCAAAGAAACAAAGTTATGTACTGATATGGCAGCAAAACTGGTTTGCAAGATAAACCAAAAAGGGGAAACGAAGACGAGCTCATATGAAAGGCTTACCCACAAAGAGGGACTTTCGTACACTTAGCCGTAACCATTGACCTGTTTCATGCCATCGACTACATAGTTTTTCCATCAGCTTGTAACTTGGGAAGAACACAAGAGATCCACCTGGAACAATCTTAAAAATTTCCTCCAAAGTTTTGCCAAGTGCATCCTACAAAATGATAAGAGAAAATTCCTTTGTGACATATTAGGTGAAGAGCTACACTAGATCAAGGACAAGAACGAGAAGCACAGATTACCTGGAATGCATACACATGTGCTGTTTTATAGCTCGCGTTCAAAGGATAATTTTCGGGTCCAGTTGAAACTACAGCAGCACATACCTGCCAAAAGGAGAAAAGCTTGATCATTGCCGTTGTCAACACACACAGAGTAATCGACCACATTCAAGGCACAAGAAAACATGGCTGGCACCTGTGATTTGACATTGATCACATGTGGAGCTTCCAGACAAGTGCCAAATTGAACACCGAGCTCAGTTGAGAAGGAGTTCGTTGGTGATAGTGTGCTATAGAGAATGGGAAATAACGATTATCATGAAGGACTTCCAAAGAGAACATAAATAAAGACAAGCCTAACATTTAGTTTAGAAACTCCATTTCTCAGCACGTGTGAGAATGCTCTTGTACATGCTCACTACATATTCTTCTAGCTGCGTTATTACTACAGTCTTTTTTCCGTAAAAAGAAAATACCAAGCTGATTTGCTTACCCAGATGTTAAAATTACTGACAAGGAGAGATCAGCGATGTCTCTGAACACCACTGCCGGATTTAAGCACCACAAACTAAAAATATGTATCGGGTAGCCAATGCCCTGTTCTGCATTTAGTGACGTTATGTCTTAGAAAAGTAACTACTTGAGCATTTAATATTGTCTGAAATATCAAATAAATACATAAAATATGATCTGACTACATTAGCACAAATAAATTTGCGCTTTACTACAATAAAAGGAATTAACTCAGTAGTTATAAATATCTAATCACGCTTGATGCTTGTCTATCCACCTGTCGCCCCTTAAATTCAGGAAACACACATTTTCCTAATTGCGGTATTTTTAGAGGCGCCATTACATAGAAAAAAAAATTATATACATATAAATATATACACACATATCTCTATGAACATGATGTTTCTAAAACCTTCCAGCAGAAGAGTCGAATTGCGATGACAATAGCTCGAACTGACGGACGTATCTAAATGCATAAATCAAGGAAACTACAACAAGAATAATTGGCCTTTATGCCAATGCCGTCTAAAAATCACTTTTCTGTCCAAACGTTTGTACTCAGTATCAGAAAATTTCCAGACTTACTGCAGATTTAAGAAAGACTGTCGACTACTAATTACTCACTTTTATCTCGCTTGATATACCGCTGCAGAGAAAGCTGATAATCAAATGTATGACCCCCATTTCGAGAGAAAAAATAAGTAAGTGCGGAGAATAGCCCTGCGACAAAATGTCGATGTCAATCCGCAATGTTGCAAGAAAAATTGCTCAACGAGCCAGCTCAGTTTTTAGTAGAGACAAGAAACTGAACCTTCTAGCGTGATCACAGACAGGCCACTTAAATGGGGGTCTTCAGAGTCCAAATCTGTAGCAGCTTTAATTGCCTTAAGTAGAATAATCGAGTCAATAATAATTAAATTAACATATCTAATAACGCATGTATAAAATCTAAACAGTATAGCACCTTTGTAGCACAATCTAACAAAATTGGGAAGCATTGCTGTGATATATGAACCTCTTGAAGCTCTCTCACGGCATCATCACCCGTCCAACTGAGAAAACATGACAGTAGCAACAGTTCAGGACCATGCCAGACAAAATCTCCTTAATTTCTGAAGATGCAATGGAATTCCATCTCTTAAGTCAGCATAGAGGTGTAATCTGGTAAGTAAGATTATTTTTCATGCGCCGTGCAAACTTAAAAGCAACTTATTTGTTAGAGCATTTACGACAACACTTATCGTATTTAGAAAATTTTATTTAACTTCAATAGAGAAAATCTGACAATGAAGGAAACACCAATATTGAAACTAAGAGGCCTATAGTTGGAGATATTAGCTGACGTAAAATGCCAAGTTTGCTCACAGCACCCGTAAGAATCTTCATCAAATAAAAAGCATCATAGCATGCTGCACGAGTAACGATAGACTATTTCGAAAAAACAAGTTCATATGCAGTTATAAATCATCACGTGCAATACTGATAGACTTGTTTAAGTTGAACAGATGAAATTCTTTGTGTTTCATGCACTATAATCATTTTTAGCGTACTTGGGACAACTTTCTCTAGTAAATAGTGGCCGTGGATAGAAAAATAGTAACGGGTAAACAGCCAAAAAAGAAACAAGACAGTAAGAATGCAAACAGTAACTGAGGTTTCTCACCAAGAGACATGGTGCTGAAAATCTCGCTTCTCTAATGAACTCTTTTTCCGCTCCATCCAACTCATGAGGTCCTGTGCATTTGCAGTACTTTCAGTTTCTTAACAAAATCTTTTGAGGTGCTAAGTAGAATGAGATAAATAAAACAACAATATTACCTGTGCCATTTCACATAAAGGTTGATAAATCATGGCGTTGACAGGGCAAAGTTGCTCCAGTTCATCCTGCAATTCTGCCATAGGATGTAAAAATTTACAACCACCATCAACCGTTAAAACAGAAAAAATAATTTCTGTCTAGCATACTTTGGAGAATATCTTCTTCAATATCCACGCTACCAGCTTCACGACAAATATCCTCTATATTGCTGTCAACAAAGTAACCAGCTTTATAAATGAGATTAGAAGCCAATATGGACCAAGTTCGACAAATAACAACATTCTCTCTACTAGATTAGTGGTGCTTTTTAACCACACTTGATGGAAAGAGCAAATTCGACGTGGTTTGTGCCTGTTGAAGTTTCTGAACATTTTATTTCTGACTTATGTGATGTGACGAATAAACCAGGAGTCAAAATGACATACTGGGCTTCATCAAGAATTATGATTGCTTCCTTTATATCCACCTCCATCGCTCCCCGAACAACTGGATTAATGATGTAGTTATATGGACAGAAAACAAGTTGTGCATAATCTGCCATAGATCTTGCTGCATAATATGAACAGCCTGAAATGCAACAATGTTCCCTCAGAGATGTCATCAAAGCAAGACAGAGAGAGACAGGAAACGTTTTTTGAAACATGTAGCGCACCTTTCACAACTTGACCGATTTTCACAAGATCTTCTATGTCATGTGCCTCGTGGCAACCCCCTTTCTGAAGGGAAGGATGCGCTTTAACTTTATTAGCATTTCTGTAAAAAGTTTCAAGATAGTGATTTCTTTCCATGTCCGTAAAGCAATAAAGAACTTATAGGGATATAACTCACTGGAATTCGCAGCATCCACCATCTCGATTTCGCAGAAGCATCTTGCTGGAGTTCCAATAACATAATTTAGAGAGTCATAAATCAAACTTGACTAGACAGAGGAAAAAAAAACATATGCCCTCTGGATAAAAGCATCACCATTCTTCATCAATGTTCTCTTTCCCTCGGACTTTTGAATTTGTGCAATAATGTCGCCGAGAGGCCTAAACAAAAAAAAGATGCAGATGGAAACAGAAAAGCTTCAACAAATGAACCTTTAAACCCAAAGCTGTTCAGATGTCATTGATACAAGAATGCTAAAAGAATAACTATTTCCAAGACCCAGTAAGTTCAGGACAAAGTTTTAATCTGTATTGTTCCAATAAGTTCGCAACAGTACTTTCTTGATTCGTTGAATCTCTAAATCAAGAATGAATTGTCATGTTTGGAAAGAAGCAACACCAAGTGCAGCTGCAATGTTCCGATTTAGAAAACAAAAGATGCAATACTCAATCCCTGCATGCATCCGAGACCAATGCACGGATCCCACAACATGGGGAGGTTACAGTGGGATTGGATGCGCTTTATATGTAGCCAGTGTAAAGGACACATTTATGGCTGCCTGCTCCTTCAATCTATTAACAAAGAGGTGGCATAGCAGCTGGTAGGCTATATGAAAGGACTAATCCATCTGCTCATTTTCAAGCAGTGGGGACCGGGAAGAACAACAGAATGCTCACGTCTTGAACCATAGTAAAAATGAAATTCTCAGGACTAGCACATTGTCGAGTATTAAACACGGGTTGTGAGGAGTGATAGAGGCCTACCAAAACAGCCATTGGCACCCGGTAAGCAGTTTTCCGATATTCTCGAATGACTTGAGAAATTTGAGAGTGTGTCCTCCTTTCAAACAACACCAAATCAAACATTTAGTCAGTAAAGCTTATAAAACTCAGTTGGTGAGCTCCTGTGGTCGGTCATCATGTAACGTCAAAAAACGTTCTATCCCCAAAGCACTTACTTCAATTTATTTCTAGAAGATACATGGAGAAAACATTTCCGAGTATCTCATCACTCGGAACATTTGCCTCGTTACGTAGAGCAAAGCCAATTTATAAAGGTCGGGAGTTCAGTAATATTTGAAATTGCCATTATATTCATATGAAGAAGAGAACACAATGTAACTTCGCATCAACATAAGCACCAAAAACTTAAGTACGGAACAAAAGTTCGGTCAATTTGCAAAGTCACTGCGCATGGCTGCTAAATTTAGGTACTCCAGTCAACGTAACCAACATGTGCACCATATATCTGTAACCATCTCATTTTTTTCCCATCCTTACAAGATAACTATTGATACCTTAACAATTCCACCCGAGTAATTCCAGAAAAAAGAACTCACGTTGAATAAAAGATGGTGGGTATTGACTTTTTTTTACTCTTGCCATCTGGTACTGGTACTGACTGAACTGGCTCGAGATTTCCTGGCGCTGTATTGCCTAACCAAAATAACATATTGGTTACATGCTGGATACAGATTCTAACAGAAACTATATCAAATCAATCAATGTCCTCGTCTTCGATCAAGGGAAAAAAAAATCAATATCCCCGTCCCCCTTGGAAAGAGACATTGATGCCTGCTGCATCAGCCACTTGATGAGCTAGACTCAACATTTCTCCCACGTTTCGCACATTTAGGCAAAGAATGCCGCCGCCATTTACCATCCACTACCTAGAGCTACCATCGAACGTTAGGTTTCCGAAAAATGATCAGCCCGAAGACTCTCACCTGAAGGCTCCGCCTCAGGAACGAACCCGCCGCCGTAATTCAACGGATCCACCAACGCCTCCGGAGCACCCTTGGACTGCGATGGATTCGCGACCTGGCCCTTGGATTTGTGATTCTGCTGCCAGGCGAGGGCGGAGCAGAGCAGCGAGAGCGACTTCCCGGTGCCGGTCGGCGACTCGAGCAGCGCGTGGCAGCGGCCTTCCCTCAGGGCTCGGTCGAGGGTGGACACGACCCGGCCCATGAACGCGAGCTGAGTCCCGTACGGCTGGTACGGGAACTCCACCGGCACGCCGCCGATGTGGAGGACGTTCCTAGGGTTCTTCGGGGCCGGCTTCGGCCTGACGATCACGCCTTTCCCTGGTTTCGCAGCCACCATCCTCGCTTCCTTGGCGTCTCCTTCGCCCTGAGGAACCCGATCGAAGGGTGAAAATGGAGAGAGGAGAGGGTTTATTGGCGGCGTAGCTGAGCTTTTTTGGGAAATTTTGGCGCTCTGGCGGGAAAACGGAGGAGCGCGATTTGGGAGAAAATTTGAGTTGCTGACCTCAAAAAAAAAAAAAAAATTTAATATGTAATGGGATACTTTGAACTTTTAATTTGTTTAAAGTGATTTCTAAACTTTAGCTGAATATGCAATATAACCCCTAAATTTTTAGTAGATTTTAATGTAGTCCCTGAACTATATAAAAATATTCAATGTTGTCATTCTATTTATTTAAGTTCGAGGATAATATTTAACATTTTCATATGGTTCGGTGATTAAATTAAACGTGTACTAAAAGTCCGGGAACTACATTGAATCGTTAAAAGTTAAGAGGCTACATTGCACATCGGGCTAAAATTTAGGGATCGTATTAAACAAATCAAAAGTTCATAAACACATTTCACGTTGAGAAAAGAGAAAATGACACAAACAGTCCCTGAACTTTGCCCCGATGTGCAATTTGATCCCTGAACTTTTGATTTGTTCAATGTCATCCATGAACTTTTGATGTATGTTCAATTCAGTCTCCGAACTATAGGAAAATGTTTAATGCAGTCATTTCCATTAATTCAAGTTGAGGGACTACATTGAACATTTTCATATAATTCATGGACTAACTTGAACATGTACCAAAAGTTAAGGAATAACATTGAACAAAATAAAAGCTTAGAGACCACATTGAACATTAGTTTAAAGTTCAAGAATTATATTGAATAAATTAAAAGTTCATAAATCAAATTACATATTAAATCAAAAATCATAGACTGTTTGTGTCATTATCCCTCGAAAAAACATCAGTGTTATTTTCCCAAAAAAGAGAAATTCGCCGGTGACCCACCCGTGACAAAACTATGGGCTTTGACTTGGCTCTTCGTTTTCCTTTTTGTTTCGGGGGGGACCAAGTATTCATTTTTGTTGACTCGACGTGCTTTTCATTTTTCTTGTTTTTGTTTGGCTTGTTACGCTAAGGCACACGTGTGAAGTAATCCACGTCTAAAAATGGTCATTATACATACCACGAGTCAGACAATGTATGGGACACCAATAAAATTTCTTCGATTGACAAGTGTTCTCAAAACGCTAATTAACAAAATTATTTTCAATAAAGACGGCTAATGTATTTTGTTTACCGCAGCAGTTTGACCCCTATAAGTCAGAGTGAGCCATTCAATTATCAAAGGCTCGTGCCGAATTTCATGACGATAAGTCATGGAGCGAGGTAAAGAGCAATATAAGTTGGACTTAATTTCCAGATGAATCGACTCGACATAAAAGCAGAAGGAGCTGGAAAATAGATAATTTGGAAAAAAAAAATTCCTGAAAATAATTATCGGTATCGCTTGAAATAATCGTTCGATCGAAAATGTTTTCATTGCCGACATCAACTTATGCTTTGAGCATTTTTGTGAATGACGAAAATATTTTTCGTCTATTCGTTTTTACAAGCGACACAGGCGAGATTACTTTCAGAAACATGAAAACCGAATCCCAGTGTCTAGTGTGTACGCCTCGCTCTATGGGTTAAACTAAGTGCGCATCGAGCCAGATGTTGGCGACATTTGCGGACGTACAAGGCGGAGAGAATTATACCGCGTTGAGCACGTTTAAAGTGAAAGGAAAAAGAGAGGCTTCTCGAGATAGGCAGGCGGCCGATGCACGTAACGTTGGGAGGGGGTTAACGCCCGCGGGCAACATCGGGGCGGGGCCGATGTCGATAGATTCTTCTTTGGTCCCGTCGACCCCCGCACGGCATTATTACAGAAGAGGTTGCGTCGTCTGGTGTGTGTGGGGATGCGCGACTTGGTTGGCGTGGCCCCCACCGTTCTGGATCGATTGAATTGACCTCCGATGCCGTCCAGCGAACTTTTGACTTTAATTGTGGACCCAAAGGTAAAAAAGGAGCAAATTCGCTCGCTAAAGTCGTCGTCCCTGTTCGATTAACTGTCGATTCGAGCGGACCAAAAGTAAGAAAATATCGCGGTCGAACGTATTCGCTCGCCTCGTGTCTGATCGCTTCCCACCACCAACATCGAAGATGCTAAATTTAGTATATTGTATGTTGATTTTACATAATTAACTTCTAAAACTTTTAGACGTTGGTGGATCATAACCGTCTACGTTATGTTGTGCTGTATTATAATGTGAAGAGGGTTCCTATTTTTTAAGGATAAATAATGGCTCTCAAATTTCATCGATGGTCGTGAGGAGTAATATCTTTTATTATGGGAAGACGTGTGTCGAAGGGAATACTTCGAAATTCATAAACAAATCTTGGTAGTTGCAATTTAATATCTTATCAAGTCTTTTGCAAAATGCCATTTTTTTTTCTTTTCCAATTTTAGAATCATTTAAGTAAATTGTCATATCAGCTTATTCCAACCTTCTATGTTTAAGCTCCAAAACTCGATAGTTATGAGTTCGTGACTTATCGAACCATTAGGAGACTGTCGTCAATTTTTTTTTTCTCAATTCTCTTACAATTTCAAAATCATATTTTTCTTTTTCCATTTCCGATCCTTCTCCGATATAGCGATTTCGAAATCACTTTCAGGCTCATAATTCAATCAAAATGACTTCAGTAATGACCAAATTTTCTTATTTGGTGGTTCAATCTGTAATTTTGATTAATAGAAGATTAACGATAATCGTGCACCATATAGATAAATCGGCAATTTCATTGTCTAATCAAATAATCATCTTTATCTCGTAAATCTCCCTAGAATTCTAAAGTCAAATTAAATGGTTCCCCATCCCAGGACAACTTCAATTCTTTTCCTTATTATAATCCAAATCGAACTCTGTTAATTTCTTTTTTCCCTTCATCTTCGCAAGTACGCTTAATTGGAATCCAATGCATTGCCTCGTAAATCCCCCTTTTACTTTTATTCTTTAAATCATATAGATATCCCCGCCAATCAAAGGGCGCAAAATTTGGCCAAGGAATCTCTTGCACGAACCGGAGCCAGAGACGAATCAGAGCCGTTGATCACACGGATCTCACGACAATAAGCGGGTAAGCGTTACAAGATCAACGGCCGTGATCACACCGGATCGAACGTGTTCTGCGAGGTACGGGGTTTCTATTTCTGGCCGTATCGTGTGGTATGGTCCTCATGGGGGCCATCACGTGATCCTGTTCTCCCTGCCGTGCTTCTTCTTCCTTCGCTGTCGGGCAAAATCCGGCTGCAAACGTCACCTTCCTATGCCAACTTCACCAGGTACGAGTTGGCCAGAGAGACGCAACCTCCCTCAGTTTCGAACCTCACCGGGATTGGTTGGTCCCAAGTCCCCTTCTCCCTCTGCCCTCCTCAGGCGAGAGAGTCCTCGCTGCGCGTTAGTTTATTCCAGCCTCTCCTCTCTCTCTCTCTCTCTCTCTCTCTCCACTTTTGAAGAACCGAGTTCGATACGGCAACAGGTCAGAAAAGCAAGTTGGGGAGGCGCGGGCGGGTTGCTTTCGCTTAGTGGGTATCGCTTCTCTCCGCGAAACAAGAATCGAATGGTTTCGGCGGCGTAGTGTGTTTTTTTTTTGGGCTCCCCGGCTTTTGATCCATATTGGGAGAATCAGCATCCGGTCTGTCGTCTCGTTGCACTGTCCTGTCTTATTCTGTCGACTCTCTGCCTTCGCTCGCGAGGGAACTGTGGAGAAAAAAACTGGAGAACGTGGGAGGATTCCAAGTCTTGGTCACGTCACATCCACTTGTGCTAATGCTTTCGGTTTGCCAACAGAGGAAAGCTTGTAGTAATCGGGTCAAATTCCCAGTCGGAGATGAGTTTTAATGGAGACCCACCACTAGTTGCTCCTTGTTTTCTCTTCTCTTCTTTCTGCCTCTAGAGGTTCTCTCATTTTCTCCGAGCGGTGGAATGTCTGTTGAAATTTGTTCATTGCCTCGGTTAAGTTCTGGGAATTAAGTCTTGTATGCTGCAGAGGGCTAGTGGCATTTTTGGCTGATGGAAGGGAAATGCTGGTCATGTAAAATGAGAAGGGTTTGGCTTCTGTCGTTGCCATTTCTGTTTCTTGGAGTGTTCCCCTCTGTATTTAGCAAGAATGTTACTTCAAGACCTGCTGTCGTGAATGTTGGAGGCTTTTTGGCATTCAATTCCACCATCGGAAGAGTCGCCAAGATTGCCATTGACGAAGCTGTGAAGGATGTCAACGCTAATTCCACCATCCTCCCTGGAACCAAGCTCGCCGTCGTGATGCGAAACACCAATTGCAGTGGGTTCCTTGGCATGATTGAAGGTCAGGTTTCTGTGTGTGTGTGTGTGTGTGATTTGATGAACAGAACAACTTCTTCTTGGAAATGCACTTCAACCTTTTTTTTAATGTGTTTTCTTGCTATTGCAGTTCTGCAGTTCATGAAGTCTGATGTCGTTGCCATCCTTGGTCCACAGTCTTCTGTGGTTGCTCATATTACGGGACTTGTTGCAAACGAATTCCAAGTGCCTCTGCTTTCATTTGCGGCCACAGATCCTACCCTATCATCCCTCGAGTTCCCCTATTTTGTTCGAACGACGCAGAGTGATTTGAATCAAATGAGCGCTGTAGCGGAGCTTGTTGATTACTATGGTTGGAAGGAGGTGACTGCCATTTATCTCGATGATGATTATGGCAGAAATGCTGTGTCGGCATTAAATGATAAGCTCGCGGAAAGACGCTGTAAAATCTCATACAAGGTGGGAATTCCACCAGGGCCAGTTAAGCGTAGTGAAATCATGGATATTCTTGTCAAGGTTGCACTCATGGAATCAAGGGTCATTGTTTTGCATGTTACTCCTGAGTCAGGTTTCATGGTGTTCTCCGTAGCAAACTATCTCGCTATGATGGGTAATGGCTATGTTTGGATTGCCACGGACTGGCTTTCATCTTTTCTAGATTCTGCTTCTCCTTTGCCATCTGAAACCATGGAGTCCCTGCAGGGAGTTCTTGTTTTGCGTCAACATACAGCAGATTCAGATAAAAAGAGAGCATTTGCCTCTCGGTGGAATAGACTGACTGGTGGCTCCCCTGGCCTGAACTCTTATGGACTTTATGCTTATGACTCCATTTGGCTTGTTGCTCATGCTCTTGAAGCGTTCTTTGAGCAGGGCGGCGTAATTTCTTTCTCTAATGACTCCAGGATAAACTCTACTGAAAGTGGTGGCCTCCACCTCGAAGAAATGAGCATCTTTAACGGTGGACCACTCTTGTTAAAGAACATTCTACATACTAATTTTGTTGGTTTAACAGGTCCTTTTCAGTTCAATTCTGATAGATGTCTTATTTATCCTGCCTATGATATTATCAATGTGGTTGGAACTGGGTTACGACGTATTGGTTATTGGTCCAATTATTCTGGGTTGTCAACTCTACCTCCTGAAGAGCTTTACAAGAGGGCACCTAACCGTTCTAGTCAAAGCCAGCAGCTCTATAGTGTTATTTGGCCAGGGGAGACACTGTTAAAACCTCGTGGATGGGTCTTCCCAAATAATGGCAAGCAATTACGGGTTGGTGTACCCGATCGAGTCAGTTTCCGTCAATTTGTATCAAAAGTTCGTGGGACAGACAATATGTTCAAAGGGTTTTGCATTGATGTATTTGTGGCTGCCGTCAACTTGTTACCTTATGCAGTTCCATATCAATTCGTTTCTTATGGAAATGGTCGTGAAAACCCAAGCTACACAGAGCTTGTGAATTTGATCACAACGGGTGTGAGTACTCATAAGACCTGAGCTTTGAAAGAATTTTCCACAGTGTTGGTTTGCTTTGGTGGCTTATGTTTTCATGTGCTGTTACAGTTTTTTGATGCTGCGGTTGGTGATATTGCCATTGTTACCAATAGGACGAAGATTGTAGATTTTACACAGCCATATACTGCATCTGGACTTGTCATTGTGGCCCCATTCAGGAAATTGAACACCGGTGCTTGGGCCTTCTTGCGCCCGTTCACCCCTCTCATGTGGATTGTGACTGGTGCCTTTTTCCTTGTCATCGGGATTGTTATATGGATTTTGGAGCATAGGACAAACGATGACTTTAGAGGTCCTCCTCGAAAGCAACTAATGACCATTTTGTGGTGAGTTCTTTTGTAGACATTTATTCTAACAATATGGTATTGTACACATGATCCAGCATGGAGATGCCCTCGTGCACTCTGTCCAAAATCTGTGTAAAATTCATTTCAAAGTTTGTCTGTTTTACAGATGACACCTATAGGATTGTTGAACATGTATGGGCAAAATAAGAGATTCCGAGGAGGCTGCAGGGTTCTGTTATCAGCTTGACTGTTGTTGTATGAGTTCCATATGCCAAGAATAAGTCAATAATACAGGCTAGTGGGTTAATACTAATAGACCATTCTTTAGGCTGGATATGCTACTCTAGTCTCGAAGAATAGATAAAAGAATTTTTGTGAGAGGCCTTGATAAGTTCTCTGTCAATGAATTACCTTTTTCTTTCCTCTTGAGATGGTAGACAACACGCACGAAACAGCCAAAAGGGGTATAAAGGGAATCGATAAAGTCTCAAATTGCTACACAAACAGGAATGATGTTACCTACTTTATTGATATTATTTCCATGCTTAGGGAGGTGCAGGGGTAAGATTATGTGGTGCTAATCGTGTCAACCCGGCAGACTAAATTTCTGTTCCTTTTTTTCCTTTTCATTTTTTTTTTTTGAGGGGGAGGGAAGGGGGTGGGTGGCGTTGTTTTCAGTCTTCGTTCCTTTTTAAATTAGAAAATTCCACTTCTACCATGTTGTGAAGACACTATCAAAATTGTCGGTGCTTGAGTTATCATGTGCTTGAACTGTGTGTCCGAGAGAAACGATGTGTTTCATCTTAGTTTTTCTTCTGCTATTAGAATTGCCCTGTTGAGGATGTGATTAAAGCTACTTTCAGCAAATGTAAAACTCTGTCCAATGTGATGTTGTATGCACATCGGATTTATCACCTATTAACCTGCTTAGTTGGTGTATAACCAATTTTTTTTCCCTGACTTGCTGATGTCTCAGGTTTAGCTTCTCAACATTATTTTTTGCCCACAGTAAGTTTCTCTGCTCCTCCAATTTTGGATTTATGGAATGGCATGCAGCAGCATTTATTGAGCTGGCTTCGCCATATCTTTTGCAGGAGAGAACACCGCGAGCACTCTTGGTCGAATGGTGCTAATCATATGGCTATTTGTTGTTCTGATAATCAACTCAAGCTACACTGCAAATTTGACTTCAATGCTCACGGTGCAGCAGCTATCTTCGCCTGTTAAAGGAATCGAAAGCTTAATAAAGGGTGATGAGCCTATTGGGTATCAAGTGGGTTCTTTTGCTGAACATTACTTGATAGAGCTTGGGATATCTAAGTCTCGGCTCATCGCCCTGGGATCACCAGATGAATATGCTAAAGCACTGAGAAATGGTCCAGGGAAGGGAGGTGTGGTTGCTCTGGTTGATGAACTTCCATATGTAGAACTGTTTCTCTCGACACAATGCTCGTTTAGGATTGTTGGTCCAGAATTCACCAAAAGCGGCTGGGGTTTTGTAAGTAATTTGTTTTGAATGCTCTGCTAGATTTTTTCTTTTTCCCTGAAAAACGTATCTTTGGGCTCACCGATTTGAGAAGAAGATAAATTAGATAAATTGCAGAAGACTTCTGTTTTCCCTAAAGTTTTTTCACTTTCGGAAGAATTTGGGACTTGCCAAAATAAGGTCCTTTAGAAATTGATTAAGCAAAGTTGTTTCTCTTGTTTATCCTCTGAACCTTTTGGATCTGTTAAAGGAGGAAGTTTGAAACAGCTCCTTCCACTTTTGTTGATATTACAGTAAAAGCGAGAGAACAACTTGCTGAAAATCAAGGAATTTTTGTTGCTAAAGCAGACTGATTGCATTCGGTAGCTGTGGACTGATGCGTATGAAAAATGGAAAATCTCATAAAGTTATTTTAGAATTTTTGGTTGTCATTCTGGGAACATCCATGTTGAATCATACAAAAGACCCCATTTAAGTAAAACACTAGCGTCTAGCATCCTTGACATTCCACATCCCAAGATCCCATTGAACTCTCTTATTCCGCTTGTTTCACACGCATTCTCTTTTGCATGATAGGCATTTCCTCGGGACTCTCCCCTAGCAGTCGACTTGTCAACTGCGATTCTAACGCTCTCTGAGAACGGCGATCTCCAGAGGATCCATGACAAGTGGCTTTTGCAAACTGGTTGCAGTTCGGACAGTGCCGAGATTGAATCAGACCGACTTCATCTCAAAAGTTTCTGGGGTCTCTTTCTCATTTGTGGCATTGCTTGCTTTATTGCTCTCTTCATATACTTCCTGCAGATTTTGCACCTGTTGTACCACACTGCCCCTGCCGAATCTGTTCCAGATGGTTCAAGCAGCTCGCGCACTAGGCCTCTCCAGAGATTTCTGTCGATAATGGACGAGAAGGAAGACCCTTCCAAAAGAAGTAAAAGGAGGAAAGTGGAAAGGGCGCTGTCCGAAAATGATAAGGACAGCGATCTGGAAAGAGATAATAGGAGGAGACAAATGGGGATTCAGGATGAGCAGCAGTCGTCGGCCCCCGTCAACTAATCACCTCTTAATAATATGTATGAGATCTTTCTTTCCAGGGATATAGATCTCAACCGCTTATACGGATTTCTCTTCATTTTTTGTCGTCACCACTTTCATGCTATCTGTCCTATGTTTCTGTACGGAGTAGAAAATTTGAATGATACTGTAAAGCCAAATAGCCAATAGCAGGAGATAGATTCTTGCCTGAAAGGATTGCCACACGAAACTGTATAATGTCAACGATAGTGCACGACGAAGTTTTGCAGCATAGTCTTCAGCAATTAAGCACCCTCATTTCTCATTTGACTAAGATACTGCAGATTTAAGATGTCAAAGCGGGGACCGAAGGTTCAGAGTCCTCGATTTGGTTCGGCATCGGACTTGGGAGGAAATTTGAGCTGTGGATGTTGTATCTATAGATTCTTGGTGGAGCGATGTGCTCCGTGAGATAGTAAAATGAGCAAAAAGGGACAGGGAATTTTTGCTTCTTTTTGCTTCACCGAATTCAGAACGATGCACGTAGTGACTGACACAGATGTTTGCGCATCTTCATCTTCCGGAGTTACTCATAGTCAGCTAAAAAATGTCGTTCCATTAAAACTATATACCTGGCGTCATTTCGAAATACAGAAGTCCCTAATGTCTGTATTAAAGCAATTAGAAGGAAATCAGATCTGGACACTAGTAAAAAGATGTATCATTGTGTTGGGCCTGGTCATGTGCAAAGAGGCTTGCTAACATCATTTTTTGTGACTTGATGAACTTACTTTGAGGCTCTTGATTTTGTGACTCTCTCTATGAGTTTCGAACTTGAGAACATCACTTGGATAGCCTCTAGACCAAGATGCCCTCTACGTGTTCGCTTGTTCGTGCGACTTGATGACCTTCTTTTGAGGCTCTCGATTTTCTTTTTTGTTGTCGTGTTCACTTTCATTTTTATTATTGCGTTTAACTTTCATTTGCTTAACTAAAAATGAAACAATAAAAGAGAAATTGGCCTTTTTTTGGGTAGACCCTGTAGTGTAGTTTTTGGTTCCAAAACATGGAGAACCCGTTTCGACCGGTATGTTATAGGTTCTATAACTTGGACGGAATCAAGAACGTCTCGCCCCTAGCAAAAGGGAGAAGTAGAAAAGATGAAAACCATTATATGGTGATGTTGACCAGACAAATCGAACTTCGATTATTACTGAACTCTGGTTTAATGGAGAGAGGGGACAAAGACCCATGACAAGCTCTCACGTTTTCTAAGAGAGCACGTACCCAACTAGAAGCCATAGCGTCAAAAGACGAAACGAAAGCACTGAAAATGAATGTTCCCAATCCCCACCTCGAGTGTGCATGAACTCCAGGATCGCTTGATTTCTCCGAGTTGATATAAATAGTGCATGGATCAGGCCTCTCTCGAAGCACGCCCATATTTTACTTCACCTCAACTTAGTGGGAGAGAGAGAGATTATATAAAGAACTCTAGCTCTTCACTTGATTCATGTCCATGCCTCTGTTGAGTAGCTTCATGCCAAAAACCTGCACGGTCCATGTCATTCCGACTTGAAATGCTCAAGCTGAAGCAACCATGCAAACACAGGATGTCTGTCATGTAATTTCAATTAATAAACTCCTACCTTAATTATTACTCAGTTCTTTGGTATTGACGAGAAATGTACATGGCATTTTATATGTCATCAAGCATGCGGAATTACTTAAGTTCTGGCCTTTTGTTTTGGTTGCCAGAATCTTTTATCCTTTTTGACCTTGTATGCCTTTAACTTTCATTACTTCGGAGCTCCGAAACATACTACTGTCGACTCGTGTGGCTTTGTTTTATATCTCATCCGTCGCTAAGCTTAAGTCTAGTGCGCAAGAAGCGCTTGTTGTATGGAAGTTTGTGGAAATACATAGATTTTCACATGAAATTTACCGTTGATAGACACCCATTATCCTCCAGTTTCATATTTTAAAGTTATCCCCCCCAAGCAAGTGACGATTAGCATGTAGATTTTCTTCTCAAATTCTTATTTTTGTAAGTATCTACATAAAGAATCGTCCAAGCGAATTACCGGAGATTTTAGATAACTATAATACGAAGTAAATATCTAGACAAAAAAGGAATATGTGTTCCCTCGTTAATTGATCCGGCTAATCAGTTGTATTACAAACATCTCAACAAACCATTACATAAGACGTAACACTTCTCCATATATATTTATAAAGGTAAAGAATGCACTGTGGTTATATAGATGATCGACGGACAGCAGAAATATACCCGATAATTGAGCTCATTGGCCAGGTCAAGACCGGTGTCATTGAAAACCCTTTGTGCAAACTTGTCAATTATTACAAATATCACTATTCATTTACGAGGCTCGAGTTTGGACAGATCAGTGGGCACTGAAGGGAGATCTCTGTGCAGCGCAACACAAATTATTATTAATTTTTTTTTGCAACACAATTTAATTGGGCCAAACGCGGGCGGGATCGGGTCGGGTCGGTTGGATCCGTCGGGCGGCCCGGAAGCTGAACGGGTTCTCAAAAGCTTGCCCAGCACGCTCCTTCCTTGCTTCAACATTTTGAGCGCTAAAATTAACGCAGCGTGACCAAAGAGAGAAGCCACAAAACCAGAGAGTCCCACACCACGCACGCTCCGCAATTGCTGTAGTTCTCTCTGCGTGCGAGTGCGATTTTTGGGCGGTGGGTGATGGAGTTGGACCCAGATGATGTTTTCAGGGACGACGACGACGATCCCGAGAACGAAGCTCTTCGGGTTCTGCTCCTGTTCTGCCCCTTTGTCATCTGTTTCCGGCCCCTTTGTTGGCGAGCGAGCGAGCGAGCTTACGTGTTTTGATTTCGTTTGCAGGAAAGAGCGTCGAGCAAAGAGCTCGTGGTGTACTTGGTCGACGCTTCCCCTAAAATGTTCTCCACCAAATGCCCTGCCGTGAGTTCCCTTCGCCTGCCGGTTTCGTTCTTTCATCGTCATCTTCTTCTTCTCCTTTGATGGAGACGGCTTCGTGGGTTCTCGCCATCTCCTGTTTTCTGCGCCGTGTATCTTTAGTCATGACCCTTTTGACCCTTCTTGGGATCTTTGCCCTCATAGTTTTGTTTTCTCGGTCAAGAGTCGTCGATGGGATTGCTGGAATTTGCCTGATGTAGCGTACGTTCAGTAATCATCGTTTCCTTCTTCTTTTTTTATGGAGGTGGTGTACTGTAGTTGGTATCTTTTAGCGAGTGCCTTTTTGCCGTATGCACGAAGCCTTGTTCATACATGCCAGATAGAAATTTTTATTTTTGTTTTTGTAGCTTTCCCAATTGCTAACGTTCAATCTTCTTAGCGTTGTAACGTTACTGTTTTTGTTGTTATTTGATGTTTTTTCGCTAATGGACGTCATGTGTCTAGACTTTTGAATTCGTCGCCAACTCAACTGTTCTTTATTTTTTAACGAGCAGGAAGATCAGAAGGATGAAAGCCACTTTGAGATTGCCATTAGCTGTATACTGGAGTCATTGAAGACTCAAATAATCAATAGATCATACGATGAAGTTGCAGTATGCTTTTTCAACACGGTAAATGCTGATCTGAGGATCTTCAACATGTTTTTAAGTGCTTTGGGTACCACTTTCAATGATAGAGTGTCATTGCCATTAATGTTTAGTTGAAAATTGTGGATTCATATTGAAATGCAGGGAAAACTTGCTCATAATGTCAACTTATATTTAAATGCCTGCTCATAACTGGAGTTGTGGTAGATACTCATGGTCAGTTCTTCTTTGGCAATGACTATTTTCTTCAAATTTGCAGAGAGAAAAGAAGAACTTACAGGATTTAAATAGTGTATTTGTGTTTAATGTTGCTGATCGGGAGTTCTTGGACAGGCCAACGGCTAAATTCATAAAGGAATTTTCCCATTTAGAGGGTAAGTGCTGATGGATCAGTTCTGTTACTCATGCATGGTAATGAACATGTTGGAGTAACAGTTGAGTGCATCGGTGCAATGGGAATATTGCTCATTTAGACATCTTGAGATAAGTTGTGTTTGACTGAAACTTCTGTGATGGAGTACGGAAGTAAAATTTTCGTCTGATTCTTGACTTAAAAAGCTTGCAGAGTTCTTTACGAAAGAAATTGGCAGTCAGTATGGCATTGTGTCTGGATCTCGAGAAAATTCACTTTACAATGCTCTGTGGGTGGCGCAAGCTCTTTTACGTAAAGGGTATGCTACATAAACTTCTCGAGAGAATGTGAAGCAAGAATTCTTATTTTTTTCATATTTTGCTGAGGGAAGTTGTGTTTATAGTCATTGGTAGTAATTTAGAATGCAACTTCTGCAGATCTGCAAAGACAGCTGATAAACGCATACTTATTTTTACCGATGAGGACGATCCTTTTGGGAACATGAAGGGTGGGGCAAAAGCGGATATGACCAGGACCACTTTGCAGCGTGCCAAAGTATCGACTGCTATTCATATGACAATTTGGTTCCTACTAAGGAATTTTGCTAATGTCCAATTTGGATTTTTCTAGGATGCACGAGATCTTGGAATATCAATTGAACTTCTTCCCTTGAGTCAGCTAGACAGGCAGTTTGATATTTCTCTTTTCTATGCTGTATTCCCTTGCCACTACCCTCTTATTTCTCAAGTTGTTATTGACGACCTTCATTTACATTAATGGAAAAAACTTATGAATTTCAGGATTTGATTAGATTGCAAGGAGAGGATCTTGCTCAATTTATGCTTGCTGCCGGAGAGAGGTAAGCCATCTTTTCATTGCTTTCTTGTAGTTTAATAGTGCATGCTAGGGACTGTTTCTTATTTCTTTTGATGGAATCTGGAACTGTTTCCTTACCTTCTTATGATTTGAACGAAATCAATTTGGGGACTCTAGTTGCCTCAGAATGTGAGGGAAAATTAGCTTACTAGAAAGTGATAACTGAGATATCGAACAAGCCAATAACATATCTGTTGTTCGGTTTATTATCATATAATGGAAATTGAGGAATTTGTCAGTTGAGTATCCTGTTGACTATTGAAAGGAGATAATCTGTCAATGAAGAAAACTTGGAAACAGTATGCCGAGATCAAAGTAGTTAAAATGGCTTTCTAACTAGGATTGCTCGGGCCATCCAAAAAAAAAAAAAACTAGGATTGCTAGGGCGTTTACAAAATTGTGAAGATTTTATAAACTATGAGAAACATCCCTAAAAATTTTATTGGAATAATAAACTTGTGTGAAAAACATTTGAGTTATATAATTAAATGATTTTTAGATTA